AGAAAAGAAAAAAATTAAAGAATATAGATGCACTTATCATGTTGAGGCTTCAACCTTTTTTGCTTCTATATGACCTTACCTATGAAGCCCATTTTTGTTAGTGTGACAAAAGAGGACTCTGAGAAAAAAGATGCATTTTCTGAGTAATAAAATTTCAAAATTTATAAATATATATGCATTTACAAAATAGCAGTCACAAAGTCGAGAGAAATTAGCCAAACCACTAAAAACATATCTTTTCAATTCAGGCTAATTAGGCTGAGAATGATAGAGTAACAATAGAGCTTAACTAAGAAGTCATACAACTTGATCCTAGTAGAGAGGTTTCTGTTTCTTTTTTCTTCTTCTGACTGAACTTAGAATGAAGGAACGATGCCATATCCAGTTTCTGGCATGAATGTTGTAGAGAACATCTGGTCCACTTCAACCTCTACATCAGCCCTCTTTGCAAACCGACCCTTAATCCGTGGTCTAGTCTCTGCATATGCTTTCCTTGAAGCATACCTTATTGTCTTTTCAAACTTCCTTGTCTTTTTCTTCTCTCTGTATCTTAGGACTCTGGCCTCCCTGTCCATTGGAGTCAGTTGGGGTGGCATCTGAATAGGAGTTCCAGTGAAGAGGTCTATTGTCCCTGTTGGAGGCCTTATGTGCGAGATTGAGATATCACTCGTTGTTTCAGGAACAATACCAACATCTGCTGATGAAATTGATGCCTAGAATAAAACAACAACCGATCAGTTTACTGCCAACATTTGATATATTATGGTTGTGCATTCTAAGAAGTAAAACAAAGTAGAAACCGAAAGAAATTCAATAAATGGCAGTATTTTTCTTTATTGGAACAAACAACTTTATGAAATATAATGCTAATTACTTGGATTCATGAATTGGAACTAAAGTAAAACTAAAACAGAAGTGTCAAAACATGTATTCTAGATAGATTCTACCTTTTAGAGAGAAAGGTAAAGTAAAGAGGAAAAGCGAGCTAATAAAGTACCGAGGAAAGCAGAAAAAGATGCTCATTTGATTTCTAGTACATACATGAGAATAAGAGTACTCAGTAACATAATTTTAAATTATGTAAAGTTATTAACGGCAAGGAATATCTTAATCTTACACTGTGACTAACTGAACCATCGTAGCTGTACATAGCTTTTGAGGACCCATATTCCGTGCTGAACTGGTAGTTCTGGCGTTGTTGGTGCTGGAGCTGATTCTTGGCATCTCCATATTGAACTGGAACGACACTATCACTCCCATAATTCTTTTGGGAAACAGTATAATGTTGCTCCTGCTGGTAATGATTGTTGTATTGATTATCAGCACTTGAATTGTATTCGACGAGGTCCAGAAACTCATCGGCCTCTCCACCAAATAAGAATCCATTGTTCTGGTTGGTGCTATTCTTACCAGGATTTAGCAGTAACCATGAAGCTGCCTCATCCTCATCCTCATCATCACCAATTGTCTCCTCTCCATCCGGAGCTAGAGGCTCGTCCTCGGTCTCTGCTGCTGATGCTACTCCCCTCCCACCTTGGTCACTGGCCGCCGGGCCAAAGAGGCTGCCTGAAATAGGAAGAATTGGGACCCTTTGGTGGCGGCGCGCTAGTGGATTGGCAGAGTGAATATCTGCATCACATGAAGCACACAGTGAGGCAGCATCTGCCTTGCACAAGAAGGCAGCTGGAGCACGCTCACACGCCTCGCACACCCACACGCGCTCATGGCGTGATGCTACCCTGTTAGCAGCATGGACTCGGGCATCACAATCTGCACATAGGTAAGCCGAGTCCGCCCGACAGTACACCGTGCAAGCAGCAGACCTGCATGTGTCACAAACTCGTACCCAATTGTTACTGCCATCCCCACCACCATCACTAGTCTCCTCTTTCAACATCTCTCAGCACTCAAAGTTCAGTCTCAGTTAGCTTTTGAGTTGGAGCAGAGAAGAATGAATGGAAGAGATAGAGGCAAGGTGGGGGTGTAAAGAAACCCAAGTGGGGAGGAGAGAATCCATGAGTGGACACGTGGCAAGAAGTTAGTGGCTACAAAAAGTAGTTACATTATCTTGTGGTTGGCTTTGTTTTGGGGTGGGGCCAAAAACCAGGTACTGCTTTGGCTTTTGGAATAATTTACTGACAATGGGGTTCTGAGCCAACTCTCCCAAATAGATTGGAGAATTAAAGAGAACCGTACTCGTCCTTCTGGGCCATCACATTTGGAGTGTTGCAGTGGCTTCTGGGGTCTGCTGTAAACTATTGGAAGAGATTCTTCACTTGCAAAATACGGATAAAAAGGTAATATAATTATAAATTTATAATTATAATTACAATCACGTTAATAAAATTGGCCTCCTTTGCTTGATCTTGTAAATATGTTTTTTTAGTATTAATCTTAATATTTAAAAATTACTTTAATTGTTAACTAATTTAAAGTGAAACCGTATCAAATTTTATAAAATGAAAAGTTCTTTTCAATGTTTATTTTTTCATTTCATAAAACTTGAATTTAAAATTTTATTTAAAAAAAATCAAATGTTTTTTACTCGGGCTAAGAGGTTATTAGTACCTTATGGATATGCTAGTATTAGTTGGTCATCTTCCTTTACTTACAGTTACAGGGCTATGCTGCTGGCGTGGACGTTAGTAAAGTGCTCTCCAGCTGATAAGGAGAAGCTGAGTTGGACAGACGGGAAGAAATTCAGGTAAGCAATAAGAAACTGCCACGTGGAAGGCTTCAAGATTAGGATGGAGCTTCACCACAAGTTTGGATGGCATCTGGGTCCAACCAAAGGGGGTAACAGGTTTTGCCCCAACGTAAGTGCTAAAAACTTTAAATTCCTCATTTCTTTCTTCCTTGTCTTAATCAATTTGTTCATATAATTGAAAGAGAAAGAAAATATGTGGTCCTAATTTCATTTCCTCCTACATTTTTTCCGTTTTGAACGTTTCTTAATCTTACTATGTTATTATCATAATGAAGATTCTATTTTTTTAGTTATTAGGCATTAAATCTCAATGATTTAAGTACAAGAATGTGAAGTACAAGGCAGCTTGCACGACTAATGAGTTTGCAGGGAGCACTTAATTGAACATTTAAGTACATTTAAGAGACTTAAATTAAATTTTATTTCGAGTGTAATACTCTTTTGTCTCATAATGGTAGCTTCTCCCTTTTGAGAAAAATGTATATACATAATTAGCAATATTTTGATTTTTCTTTTTCAGTTTTCTTTAAAACAAGAAAAGGAATTATAGGGTAAACCTTTAAGAGTTTGTTTTATTTAATTAAACTTAATTTAAAATTCAAAAATGTATTTTATTAAATATTAATGCCTATATTTTAAAATTAAAAATTTAATTTAAAATTTAAAAATCTACTTTATTAAATGTTGATATTTAAATTTAATTCAACATATTAAATGTTGATAACTATATTTATAAATTGTTTATATATTATAATATAATAAGTAACTAAATACAAATATCAACATTTAATAAAATGAATTTTTAAATTTTAAATTCAATTTAATTAAATAAAATAATATTATTTAAAATTAAAAATTAAATTTATTTTAAAAATCAAAATTAATATATGTTATTTTTATTAAAAAAATATTTAAAAAATAACCATATCAGCACAGTCACATCCCTCCCAAGCAGCCTAATCGCAGAGTAAAACTAGAATCCGAGCCTACGGCCTTAACCTATTTTAAGATTTTAGAAAGGGTGATGTTATTAGGACAATTTTTTTATTTCACTTTTTGTATAATTTTCATATGTTATTAAATGAGTGGATGTATTTAATATAATATATTTCATATAAATTAAAAAAATTAATCATTTTAATAACACGTCAGATTATACAAAAAAATAAAAAAAAAATTGTCTTAATAGTATTTTCCTTTTAAAAAAATACATCTTTGTTTCCAAGGAAAAAATAATTTTGAGACCTACCCTTCGCGGAAAAACCTAGCTAAAAGCCTAAAATTTCCAGGAAACTTTGCTACTCGCTTTTCCATTTCAATTTTGGTGCCCGGAGTTGGTCATAATTAAGGTGCTTCCTTCGCCATGGTAAGTTTGGTTCATATCAATGCTACTCTTTTTTTGAAAAAAAAATATTTTAGTTAGTAAGTTTGGTTCATATCAATGCTACTCTTTGTTGTTAAAAAAATATTTTAGTTAGTAAGTTTGGTTCATATCAATGCTACTCTTTGTTGTTAAAAAAATATTTTAGTTAGTAAGTTTGGTTCATATCTTAAGACGCTTAATCCAAACTAAGATTTATTTGTTTGATGAACTAGCAATTTCTAACTTAATTTAACATACTTTTTGATTTGGCTGAATTTATTTGTCTATAACTTTAGATCTTGCATTCTGTTGGTTGCCAGGCCATATTTGGAGTCCCATAAGAGACAATTTGATCTTCATATTTTAACATTTTGCCATATTCGACACCATATTATATGGGTTTTGATATATTTAAATCATTTTTTCTTTTTACATTTCTTTAACGTGGATCTTTGTTCTTCACACTCACAAAAAAAACATATTTTAACAAGACTTAGTGATTTTCCTAATGATATCCTGAATATGATACTCTTGAAATTGCCATTGAAGGCAGGACTTAGCACCATCATCTTATCCAAAAACGGTAAAGACATAGATGGGGTTGTCTTTCACAGTTTACATTAGATATACACAGCCTCCAATATGATACGGCCAGATATGTTGTCTATCAATATCTTGTTTACCATGATCATGATGATGCAATATTTAAGTTCAAACTCTCTAGTTTGTCCACTCTTTACATGAAGATTTGAGTACTTGGATTCATATTCTATCAACGAAAGGTGTGAAGGAGTTGTCTATTTATAGAAATTGTATATGGATGGACGTTTAAAGATGTCTCGTTAGCTGTTTGCTTTTAAACAACTCAGTGATTGAAGCTTGAAGATTTTAAGATCGAAGTTCCAAGGGCATTCAAAGGATTTCGTTTCCTTACCACCCTTACTCTCATCGATGTGAATATTGATGATAAGGGGTTTGAAATTTTAAATCAACAATGCCGTGCTCTAGTGAGATTGAGACTGTCAAGTATGTTGGAGAAATAGGGGGTTAGAAAATAAATCATTAAATCATTGATTTCAAGGCGTATTGCAAATGCCACTTTCTTTTAGGTTAATTTTGCCTTTACCAGATTTGGTATGCAAAAGGGTAACCCAAAATGCCCATTGAATACAATGAAGCACCTTGTTGATCTAGCCTTTGCATTAGCAAAATCAACCATTGAACCATCCTTTGGAAAGTGACAAAACAATAGTTTTTGTATAGGGATTTCTCAAGCAATCGCAATACAAAAAGGGATATATTTCTGGGTTCAAAGACTCCACAAAAAAAGAAGAGATAACTCCATATTTATAGGACAAGATGTCTGTTGAAACAAACACTTCTTTTTAACTTTTATCCGTTGGAAACTATTCCAAAAGTCATTTGATTTGATTTGAATTCTAACTCACGTGTTTTCTTGCCTTCTAAAGTTATTTACTGCCTTCTAAAGTTATTTACTCTCTTCAGAAACTTATTAAAATTCTATCTCTAATTTCTTACGTAAATGGTTCAAACCAAATAAATATGCTTCGAATCAAAATCGTAACTTTCTGGATTCTAGTTTTACGTAAATGATTCGAATTATAATTACATGGTTCGAACCAGAATTACAGTGTCTCAAATGCAGTCTGTGCAATTGTTTCGAACCAACTTTTTGTGATTCAAGCCCAAATTGTGGAAATATTTTGAAAATTCTTCAACAAAGTATGCAGCTGGGGAATCTCAAAATTTGTGGACCAAATCTTAAATGCATGAAATTCGTTTCCACTGTTGGAAATATCAGGTTTGAGAATACCAGAAGGCAGAAGCCTAGCAAGTTTTTGAGTATTTTGCAAACAACTACAAGCTTCCTTTACTTGTTCTTACAGCTGATGGTGGTCTCTCTTATCTTGAGACTTTTTCTGTGTCTATATATTGATGCCTTGTTGGTAATCTCCATCTCTTGTTGATTTGCTGGTTATCTTCTTCAGTACCATCGATGTTCTTGAAGATATATACGTAGGACCATGATTGGTGCACACCCGGATCCCACACCCTGGTGTGCACCCCCACATAAAAAAAAAAGTTAGACCGGGTGATGGGCTTTTTTTTTTTTTTTGTTTATATGGGGGGTGCACACCCGGGTGTGGGATCTGAGTGTGCACCCATCATTTTTCTATATACGTATTTAAACTTTTGTTTTCTGCTCAGCTTGCTTTGAAGTATTTCGACCATGAAAATGAAATGGGGAAACATTATCATCTGTCCGAACTAGACATACATGATTCCTTCGATGTGAGCAGGGAAGACTGTGTTAGAGGTTTTCTTTCTATACAATTGGGAGGTTTCCTTAACTTGAAGTCGCTATGTTTCACAGTGAGTTCTATGTATTACAAAAAGAATTCAATCTTTTTCCTTTCATTAATTTCCTCTACGCATCATAAGTTTGACATTGAATTTGTGTAAATGACAGGTTCGCTATTGTCAGGGTGGTTGGGGACGTTCCAAGTTTTCAGAACTCCGTGGAGCATTAAACTTGGACAGAACCGTGTTCCACAATTCTTGCTACTGGATTTTAGCTAATTTTTTGCCTCTGATAATTGGTAATTCACCTTTTCTTAAAACTCTGGATATTTTATAATCATTGATAGACGATGAAGTGAAAAGAGGGCAAGACATTCAAGGCTGGTGATTGGTGAATTACTACATTATACTTCATTTACAATTTCATTTAGAGCATGTTTGGCTAAGATTTCAGGAGCTTCAGTTTTTTAATATTATTCATGTTTTATAAGTTTAAATTTTTCTCTTAAAAATTTACATTTTAAAACTTTTTTTTAACCTTAAAAAAGACCTCAAACAATAAAAACTCAAAAGTTTCAAATACAAACCTTTTCATAATTTTTTTTTACTCATTTTTTTCTATTTTTAAAAGCAATTTTTAAAATTTTCCTCTAATAACAATTTAAATTTATCACTCATAACAATATTTAAAAAATAAAAGTTTTCACAAACCACACCAAACAGGCCCTTAATGTGATAATTACTTGCTAGTGCATTTTTCATAATCTTGGCAAGGCTTAATTATTAGATAAGAGGCTTTTTTTTTTTTTTGCAACAAGATAATTATATTACAACTACATATTTAAAAGATAGGAGTTTAATGTTAGTGATCAGACTCAAATTAAGGACCGATATGCCACACTACTGAGTTTTTACCACTGGACTATGAACGTGATTCACATTAGATGCGGCAAAAGTAGTAAGGTGAAGTGCACGAACAGACGACAAAGCTTTCAAAGATGAGTAGTGAAGCCTAAGGGGATAAGCTTTCACTATCAGTGCAATTCCTAGCGGTAGTCAAACTTTTTCTGCTGAGTTTTTGGCTTTTGCGATGGCTATATCATATCACTTTGTTGGATATCTTGTGTTATTTATTTATTTTAATTGAAAAAATTAGTTTAGATCATACTACTTAATTTATTTTTGAAAAATTTACACCATATCTAATTAAAAAGTTATTTGGTAGGGAAATACTTTTCGTACAACTTGACTTATCATTAAAATGATTAGTTCTTTTAATTCATATGAGACCCATGATATTGAATGTATCCACTCATTTAATGACATGTGAAAGTTGTATAAAAAAATAAAACAAAAAGATTGTCCCTATAACATCACCCTATTTGGTATAGTAATTCAAAATTAACAATTAACAATTTCGTTTAATTTAAAAATTGATAATTGTTATTAATTTATTATTAATAATTCAAACAATCTTGTTCATTCAATTAGAGTAAACAAATAACTACTAATTTTAAGTCGTTATATCTAATAGCCCCATATTCTTTTATTTCATGTGTAATTAGTGCATTTTCAGAATACCCTAATAACAATGAAGTCTGTATGCTTCTTTATTTCTTGATCACAATACAGATGACAGACAAAGTTAATGTACTTGAAAAGGCAGCTACAAATGTAACATAATTTCTAATGCCTCAAAATTATATTTGAGAATCAAGCCTACATATCATTGATCTTACTCTTACACAAAATTTCAAATGAACAACCCTTGTAGATTTTTGCTCAATAGACATTACTGGACATGGGAACTTCTCCATTCTAAAATCTCTCCTTAGATAGTAATAAGCTGTAAATCTCTACTTAGATGGTAATAAGCTGTACAGTTGGGATAAAATCAGAAGCAGAAGAGAAAGAAAAATCAAAGCCTTATGGGGGTCTACCGGTCTACTATGCCACTATGATACAAACTCATCCATTTTGGAATACTTCAACTATATCTTGTTTTCTCAATGTTCTTGCCTCACTTTGGAATGGAAAAGAATGATAATAGAGTTTTGATAAAATTCACCTTGGACCAGAGAGCTCCATGGCTTGGACTAGCAAGGAAGAGTCATCAGTGAGATCAGAGTATCGATCTGATGAGGAGAATTCATGAGGCTTCTTGGTTGCTTCAGCTCTCTGGGAAGCTTCCCATCTTTCTGCCAGACCATCACCTTCAAGCATCCGAACCACTTCTGACATCTTTGGTCGATGGACTGGAAGGTATTGGGTGCAGAGCAAAGCTACTTGAACCATCTCTTGTAATTCAATTCTGTCAAAGTTGTTTTTAAGATCCTTGTCCACTAGCATTTCTAGCTTCTTCTCCTGGTGGATTTTCCTCACCTGAAAGCATCATTTTGTGTTACTAAAGAAAAAAATAATAATAAAAATAAAAAATAGTAACTAAGAGTCATCTAAGAAATAAGGAAAAAAAGACAGGGAAATTATGCTCACCCAGTCAAGCATTGCTCCTTTCTGGTTGGCAGCCTTGCCAAATTCTAGCGCTCTCTGGCCTGTGATTAATTCAAGTAGGAGAATTCCAAATCCAAACACATCTGTCTTCTCAGAAGATTGGCCTGTGGAGAGATACTCAGGTGCTATATGCCCCACAGTGCCTCTCACAGCTGTTGTGACATGTGAGTCTTGGTGATCCAAAAGCTTTGCCAATCCAAAATCTCCTACCACAGCCTCCCAGGATTCGTCTAGCAATATATTTGCTGCCTTTACATCCCTATGAATTATCTTTGGATCACATTGCTCATGGAGGTACAATAGTCCCCTTGCAGTTCCTAAGGCAATTCTCTTCCTTGTGCCCCAATCCAATACTGGTTTTCCTGTAAAAAGAGGTGCAGGAGCAGTTCAAATATGATCAAAGTTGGCATTTAAACAAAACTAGTTATGATTTCTTAAATGCTTTTGTTATATTTACCTTTGAGACGTGAGGCAACACTGCCATTAGACATGTATGGATAAACAAGAAGCTTCTCTGTAGGTGTAATACAAAATCCATAAAGCCTCAGGAGATTCCGGTGCACTGCAAGGCTGATTAACTCCACTTCAGTCTGGAACTGAATCTCTCCTCCAGCAGCACTACCATCTTTAAGCCTCTTAACTGCTACTATTGTTCCATCTTGCAGAAACCCTTTGTAGACATTTCCAAACCCTCCCTTCCCTAGTATATTCTTGCTGCTGAAATTATTTGTTGCAATCTGAAGTTCCCTAAACTGGAACCTTTTCAAGTTTCCAAGAGAAACTTCTTCATGATGCCGGTCTGAGATTTCAAATTAGGAAGGAATAAGAAGGGTTGGTTAGCCATTATTTGTCTTGGATGCTTACAGATCCGATTTTAATTAGGCCATGGGAAGAAGTATGGTTATCACAAACCTTTAACATCAAAGAACATCTGTTCATTCCACCTTTGCCTCCACCAAATTAGTAATCCAAATACAAGAATGAGAAGGGAGACACTCCCTATGCTCAAGCCAAAGGCTATGGCAAGCTTGTGGCTTTTAGGTCTTCCTGAAGGCAAAGCAGCTTCAGAGAAGCAAAAGGTTTTGCAGTCAGGAACATCACAAGGGTACTTAAATTGATATCATCTATCATAAAAGTTTCATTTAACTTCAACTTCTTTTAGGAAATTAAACTTTAATCAGTGCCACAAATTATGCATACTCTGTGAGTTGTTCAAATTCATGGACATTGGCATCAGTATAGATCCATGACATTCTGGTTCAGATCCTGTTGCACAGATTAGACGATTCCCAACAATGCTGCAAACAACAAAGGCGAGGAGCAATAATTAGCAGTCTATTTTCCCTTTTCTACTTTTAGATGAATGTTTAAGTCAGAAATTTCCTGCTTAGAGAGACGGGAAGCTAGGGGCAGTTACCTGAATGTTTTAGCAGCAATTCTGGGCACAGGACCACTCAGATTATTGTAGGACAAATCACTGAAATATGTGCAAGCAAAACAAAACAACAATTAAAAAAAGCCTTATTCAGACCAGAATATTAAGATACGTTAACTGTGCATATTTACGGGAATAATTATCAAGAAGCTTACAGAAAGGTAAGCTGTGTCATGTTAGCCAAGGTCAAGGGAAACGCTCCAGATAGAGTGTTATTGTTGAGCCTCCTAAAATCAAAGCCCAATAATCAAATGCCCAAAGAAAAACGCATAGATGCAGAAAAATTCACGTCATTTCTTGAGCTCTGAGGTTCTATTTCAAAATTTAAATTCTTACATATACTGGAGACTTCTTAGGTTGCCTAGGGAGGAAGGAACGTCTCCAGACAAGGAATTACTGGAAAGATCAAGCGTGCGAAGCATCAAGAGCCTTCCCAACTCTGAAGGAATTGGTCCTGTTATGTTATTGTTTTGTAAGAGCCTGCAAAGCAATGCATAAAAGCACTCGTACATAATTCAACAAGAGAAGGGTTGCATCCATAAAAGCATTCATTCACTTTCCAAATTCTCCTGTGGATACTTACACAATCTGAAGATTTGTTAAGTTTCCTATGCTTGGAGACAGAGTTCCAGATAAATTCTGGCTTGGAGCACCACTGCAACAAAGACCAATCCATCAACCCTTCAAATTCTTCATCTTTTTAATGAAAGATTCATAAATTTATATTAAAGATTAGTTCTTTGTATAAAATTCAAAGTTGCAGAAAGACTTACAGGCCAATAACCAGGCCATCAGGATTACAGGTAACCATAGTCCAGCTACATGGATCAACAGCATTCCCATCCCAATTATCCAGAATCCCGTGAGGATCATGAAGGGAAGCCTTTATAGCCATTAAGGCTTGAACTGAGACCAAAAAAAAAAAAAAATGCAGCCATACCATAAAACCTCCACTCATCTACTTGCGGCTAACGCACACATCCTGTTTGATTATATGAATAAGAGAAACTGAGAAAGAGAAAGAGAATTTCCCAGTTACCTTCATAGTTTACACCTTTAGGAGAAAGCAACCCATTTGCAGGAGAAGCCCAAAACCAGAAGAAAAACAGAAAGTGTATAGCAATTCCTCTTCTTGTTGTCATTGAACTGAAAGAAACTCACAACAAGAATTTGAGACACCCAGTTGCCAGAAGTAGCCTAAGTGAGTTTCTTCTTCTTCTTCTTCTTCTTCTTCTCTTGCCTAAGGTAATTCTGAGATCAGAACCCACTCTCCCTGCTTTCCACGCCAGACATCCATTCACCAAAAAATCTTTATGTCAGGCCCCAAGAAAAAGAAAAAACACAAAGATTTATTTGTAACATATAAAGTGAAATAGCATGCCTGTCACTGGGCCTGGAGGTTGTAAAGAAAAATAATATACAATACTCATAATCTCTCTCAAAAGTACAAAGCCAGCCGAATCTAAATATAATACTCCAAACACAAGGACAAGATAGTAAAATCAATCGGCGCAGCAATCATGAACTGAAGTGAAAAACCAAAAAAATTGTTCCAAAGAAGATAACCACTGTAGCCTGCAGTCAGAAAAAATTCCATATTTTTTTATACCTTAAATAAAACAAGTCAAGTTAAAGTTCGTTAAGCCTAAAAACTTTTTGACTTAACATTCGTTACTAGTCAGGTTAAAGTTTGTTACAAGCCCTCAAAAATTAGAAACGAGAGCAGGAATTGCTGGTTTAATTTTTGACAGGAGGATTTTTGAATATGAACTCTTGAAATTAATGGAAGTTGTTGATTTTTAAAACCCCCTGTGATTGTACTGCATAATTTCATGATTCAGTACTTTTATAATAATTCTAGTGAACCTGCATTTCTATGAATTAGATTCTATGAAAAAAACCCAGTTTATATATGTATGGACTAATACATACAGATTGTTAGTTTCTATGTGTACTTTATGTTGGATTATGGGCAGAAACAGAGTAGAGTGTGCATCGAAAGGAATAAAAGAAATACATTTATGGGAAAGGACAATGGGGAAGGGGAATCCAACATTCCCTTAGTTTGGTCATTCAGTAAAAGACCCAAAACCCATCTGCAATTTTTCCTTCAAATCTTTTTTACCATTTTTTTTTATCCTTTTGTGGGGGGTTAATGTAAAGAGAATGTGAGAATCTCGAGAAAGAGAAAGACGGTGGCACGAGATTAAAGATGGTGGATTTGGTAACCCACCATTTGCAATTTGTATGAACCTGATCAAATTGGTATCTTTCCTTGGCTCTTTCTACATGTTTTTATAATGTGAGTCTGAATAAATTATGTACATGTTTAGTTACTTTCTGTGTTGTAAATCAATTGGGATATCTTGGGTTTGTGTGTCTGTTTGTTTTTATTTTTCTTCGCGGTAGATTCCACAAACCACTAAAGAGCCACACCCTGTCACCCTCTCTTCTTCATTTTCAGAAAGTTGCTTTCTTTACCTGAAAAAAATTATTCAGAAAAACATAAACATTTTATAGAAATTATAAAAAAAAATGCAATTTAAAATCTAAAAGCTGCCAACTAGGCATCCTTATGTCTTTCTATGCAAAAATAATTAATTAGATAAAAAAAAAAAGAATTTCAAATGCACCCATGGAGCGTGCCTGTTGTTGTCTTCTTGTTTGTAGACAAAAGGATTTGTATTTCCTTCAAATATATATGAAAATAATAGACATAAAAATGTTTTATACAATATGATGTTATATTTTATTATTAATTTATTTTACACCAGAATTACACATGAATTAATATTTATTTATTATTTTAATATCATGTCATATTATGCAAATATTATAAAAATTATTATACTTGTAACATTGTTTAAAAAATTTAGTACATGCATGCAACTTAGGCCAATATCATTTAACTCAATAATATAATTTCCCCCATTTGCGAAAGTATTAAATAATGATAAAGTAATGTTGGACTTCTTTTGTTTGCCGAAAGTGATGTTGGATCAATAATGTGATCTTTTGAAATACCCTCTTTTTTTTTTTAGATATTTATGATTATGTAATTTTGATGTATTACAAACAACAACTAGACATTGAGAGATATGCTCTTACCATCTAGAGTATAAATTTAGTGTGAAGATAATAATTTTTTTTTAATGAAGGAAGATAACCAAAAAAAAAATTGAAGGGGCATACCAATGAAGGGGCTATGACAATATGTTTGAATCAAACAATTCAACAAGTAAGAATAAATAATTGTATACATATAATATCACAACTAACAACTAAAATCATTTCAAGATGCTCAAAATAAAGTAGAAACTTTTGACTAGAATCTTTCTCATTTGTTGATTTAATGCAAAGCAATTCATCAATAAGAAAATTGACCAAAAATGAATATTAATTTGAATAAAGTATTGATTCAGTGATAAACTAATGTTTGGTGTAACAATTTTGAAAGGTTTAGAGATAAATTGTCCAATATATGCAAGTAAATAGTCAATCCCTTAATAACCTTGAATGAGGTTATTGGTATCCAAACTAAACTTAATAAACTTGTGTCCAAACAACCCTAAGGCATAAGATGGATGAGAGGAGCCAATAAAGAGGAGGACCCCAATCTACCAAGAATGCTCAATCATACACTATAAGAAGAAAGGAAGAATTGACCATACATAACCTAAAATACAGAGCCTTTAATATTGTAAAATGAAAAAAATGTCCAGAGATTAAGGACCAAAAGTTCTAGGAACACCCTACCCCAGTTGTCCTCCTTTCCCCTACATCACCTTCACTACCTTAAAACATGGCATTTAAACAGGAAAAATTCTCAACCTCAAGACTTCCAATTATCAAAAGTTTTTCATTTTTAACCCTTCATTTCTTTTTCTATATTTCCCCCTAATTTGTCTTGGGAAACTAGCAATGATAGAGTGACAAGGCTGTGTTTTTACTAAGTTATAGGCATCCAAGTGGATCCTGCCAAGTGTGCAAGCCCTGGTGACTGGGAGGGCACACGGTAGTTCTTATTGGACTATGTTTCTAGGTCTTGGAGGGTGCACGGTTACCCAAGCCTGGCCTTGACTGAAAGCCAAATTCCCTTCCATAAGGGGAAATGGATTGGGGAAATATCACATTCACAAGTGAAAGTATTTGCAGAAATTAGGGCATGCAATAGGCATATAATTAATATGTGTTATTGTAGCATCACTCACGAGTCAGTAGTCACATGTGTTTTGGGTTTTTAACATTCAAATTCTACCAACTGTTCATCCTATAAGTTAAATAGCAATTATAAATATAATTTTTTTATTTGTATTTTGGCTTTATTTATTTATATTTGATTATATTTTGCATATCCCATCTTAAAAAATAAAAAGTTATCTTGATGATAAGGTAAAAGAAATGAGATTGCACCTCATTTAGGTTGGTCTTGGAACCAACATAGAGTTGATTCTTGTCCCTTGATATTATATCCAAATGGGTGGCAAATAATTATGTTCAAATTAGTTTATATTATATTTACCTGTTTAACTTGTTTCCTTCTGAACAATTCAAGTACAAATGCACATGATATTTTCCCTGAAACACATCATCCACGATATATTGTCACGAGTAGACAATATTTGTCCTCTTCTCCTAAATCCACTATTGTCTCTTAAAATTCTTTACCCACTCCAATGCTTCATGTACTTTTTACAAATATTCCTTATATTTAACAAGAATGCGTCATATATAAACCATTTTGTTTTTACTAATAAAAAAATAGTACTTAATTAGTACGGAAATTTCATAAAAGATTGTATGGCATAGTGATTTACTCACCAATAACGAGAGATGTTATATAATTTTATGTAGATATATCAAGATTCCTATAAATAATTTTCTTGAAAGATGTTATATATAACCGTTATATTTGCAAGATTGTATGATACACAGATTCTTTAGAATGTGGGTCATCGCTTATGGTCAAGTAGTGGTAAACAAGTTATCATGGTGCTCCATTTGGATCCAATGGCATTATGATAATTAAATGCAAAATTGAGGTAGAGAAGGGTTTGTGGAACACATCTTAATTTTCTTTTGTACATTCTTCATAACAATAGCAAAACAGATGATATATAATGCGGTGATGGTTCCTTGGGTTTGGGGGACTTTAGGCATCATTTGGGTGGCTCTAAGTGGGGAAGCTATTAACTCTGTCCCTTCCTTCATTAAAGTTCAAATGAATAAGCACTTTATGCAAAAAAGAAGATCACAAATTTTCCCCATTCAAAGAATGCCACTTGAAAGACAAAAAGACAAGGGAGGGAAGGAAGAATTAAATAGTGGAGGATTTAGACCAAAAAAAAAAAAAAAAAAAAGTTAATATAATTTCAGTCACATTTTCTGTATGAGAATTTTAAGTTAAAGATTTTAATATATAAATTTTGAGATAGATGACAATGTTTGTGTGAAAAATGAAAGAAATATCTCTTATTCTACATTTGTACTTTTTTTTTGTGTTGTTCTTCTTGATCTTGGCTTTGAGTTGTCCAATACAAGATAAATAACCTCTCATTTACAAATCATATAACATAAATTTAAAATTTCTTTCTTTTATTGGAGGAAGATTATTATTAAATTATTAAAGTTGTTAACTTATATTTATTTTTGTTAGCAATAATTAAAGTTAGGGATACGAATTTCGAACTTCTTTTTCATTGGCATCAATTATGAACCCAATTTGACAGAGAATCAAAATGAACGTCAAAGTGAAATTAATACAAGTGATGGCTTTGCTTGGGGGAACATTGAGGTCCCATGTTCTTTTGCTTTTGTGAAGGATGATGTTTTTTAACATAAGAAAGAAGACCAACAAATAGACCCATGAGCTTCCACTTTAGACCTCTTACTCTTGCTACAAAGTGATTTTGCCCTTTAGTTCATGCTTATCCCTTTAGCATCATTTTAACTGTTTATCCATAATAACCTTCTCTTTCACCTCTTTTCTCTTTTCTCTTTTTTGAAAATTTGCCTCCCATCATATGTTTATCAAAGCTCACTAATCTTTTCAAAGTTCAAAGGATTTGAAATTTACAGTGAACCGAACTCGACCTCCATAGTTCTTAGATTTGACTCAACTCATCTCAACCTGTAAAGGATTATCAAAAGATGGTGGGTGACAGCAAGTCATACAAAGAAACAATGTGAACAAGAAGTAATTTTTTCAGAATTTTGGTCCCCTCGATAGAGCCATGAAAGTGGAAGTAATAGCAGCTAATCATCAAAGTATGATGGCGTTCTTTGTCGTAGTGTATGTAAGAACATAAGCTGTCGCTTTGGTTTCATCTCTCAGCCTACGTTCCGAAATCACAACCACAAGAATTGAAAGAAAATTCACTGTTAAATTCAGGATTGGAGAAATTTAAATGTGGTTCTAATAGGCACTGAAGAACACAACAGAGTCCTATGTGTTGAGTCACATTCATTGCGTTTTGCTCGTTGAGAGGTCGCATTCAATCTGAGTCGTCCATCCAGACTGGCATGGCAACCCCATCTTTTTCCTGAAAAAAGCTGATGTACTCTAGCTTGGTTTTCATGGGAATGCTGAGGCAGGGGTGATATAACAGTAACAACAGCAAATGTTACAGGACAGGAGTTTCTCACCGGAGGTAGAAATGAATGAACAGTTCAGACTTTGGTTTGGTTACGCCTGGTGATTCCAACAACACAACATATGATCTACATGCATGCTCTTAAAAGTCCTGAATTCCTGAGCCTAAATTAACCATCAAATTGGTTCAAGAAATGCATCTGTGTAGTGTATATTTACATGATTTAACACATGCTCTTAACACACAAGGCAATGCCTCTATTTTAACCAAGAATGCATTTTGCTCAAGAGCCTGCACTTAAAAAGTATTCAAGAACATAAATATGAAATCCTACTCTCGTGAGTCTCATCCAGATAATAAATGCATAGATAAAACAATAGCTCTTTGCTCTGGTGACTGGTCCCCAACGTCCATTATTCAAAAAAGAAACAATTCTGAAGACCACATGTCCAGCTTTATTCTAGCTGCCCTTCTCATTTCCTTGCACGCTATTAACCGCAGTCTGCATAGCCATTTTTTGTCACTAAATACATTGTAGAAATTTCGAAGTAGGTTAAATATGCTAATGTGTTGCTAAAGATGTTCAATGCGGGCAAGTATTAATTTTGACTACTTGAGTACAATGCAGCAACTAACATACAATGGCTAGAAGATTCTTTGAGAAGGCAGCCATGCATTTTGCTTCAAAGGTGGAGGTGGGATTTTAACCTTTGCTTTCAAAAGAAGAAATAATATAGAATAAGACAAATGAACAATTATATCTAAAATTTGAAATGTGGTTTCACTTAAAACAACTTCAAGGGCTCAACATATGGATGTTCTTTCTCATAATCTCCTATATAGTCCAGGCATCTACCTGCCATTTGATCATCCTATGCCAGAGGCAAGAATCACAGAATAAGAAAAAAGCAATCATCAATAAATTGAAACCAGAGAAATGTTAAATCCATAAAATTTATTTGACAACTGACATTGATGAAAGATGAAACTGCCTTAAGTTAACTGAGTGAATACCATGCCAAAACTTTTGAAAAACTTCCACATTAAATTAACCTCACCAGAGTACAACACCTAATACAATCCAATGAGCCTAAGCAACCACTGGAGCAACATTTTCACTTTCACCTGATTTCATGGAGCAGAAAAGATTCAAAACATCTGCATGGTTGCGAATGTAATGTGGGCATTTAGACAGCAAATTTTGTGCTTCATCTTGCCTTGCAGCTTCAAAAAATGCTTCAAAAACACGGAGAACAACTGAAGTAGATGGAAACCTCTTAGAAGTCATGGCCTTGAGAAAAGCCATGGCATCTTCATTACTTCCAGATTTTGATACATACTGGATGAATGGATCCACAAAAGGTGGGAACCCATCTGCTTTCATCAAGCCCAAAATGCCCAGAGCATCTTTAAATCCACCTTGAACCATTAACTTCCTTATCAGAACTTTGTAAGTAGTATGCCATGGCTTTAGCTGATTCTCCTTAACATAATTTCGAAGAAGCTTCCATGCATCTACTGCTCTGTTCCTATCACAATAAGCACTTATTAACAATTCCAAGGGATAACCAGCATGAGAGACACCTTTGCTCCCAACCATCCTTTGGAAACAATCAAAGGCTTTTTCAAGATCTCCAGCAAGACAATGCCCTTCAATTAAAGATGCCCATGCCCTGTGATCTAAATTACCATTTGATGCTTCAATATGATACATAAACTCAGTTGCTTCTTCCTTTTTACCCGTGTGAGTAAGCCTGAAGGCAATCTTTCTCTGCATATTACCACCAGCTACAAGTCCAGCTTCCTCCATTGCTTGTAAAACTCTGTTGCAATCTCCAAGTCTACCAACACTTGTTAAAGATTTGAGAACTGCATCAAGCATACTATCTGTCAAGACATTCCCACCTTCAGTAAAAATCCGCAAAACCCTTGAAAACAGTTCCATATCTAATTGTTTAGCCACTGCTATTTTTCTCAGCAGAAAGGTACAACAATGCACAGAAGGTCTATTTGCACCATTCATTGCGTACTCATACAAGTCTACAGCATCTTTAATCATCTTCCTTTTGGAAAAGCACACTAAAACCTTAACATACGTCTCCATTTCCATTTCATATCCCTTACTCCTCATCTCATCAACAACTTTCCAAAACCTATCAATGCAATCTTCTCTCCCTAAAACCCTTGCCATAGCATTATAAGTCCCTTCATCATGTTTCACCAAACCACTCTCCTCAACCCACCTGAAAAATATTAGTGCTTTTGTAGGTTGCGCACCGAGATTTTCTAGTATCATTTTCACCTGATCACTTGAAAATGCAACATTCAAATCACGTAGCCTGCCTTCAACATTGTCCCCCCACACCTCACTCCTAACAATCTTACCCACCGTAGAGCAAACCTTCTCTGCTAAATTATGCAAAGACCCTGATGCAAACACTCCCTTCAACTTCTCCAAATCACTGTCCAATCCTTCTTTCTCAAAAATTTCAGCAACTTTATCGCGAACACGGCCTGATACTCCATACCCTTTCTTCTTCATTGCATCAACCAAAACCCAAAACTCCTCCACAAGCCCATTAACCCCCAAAATACCAAGCATCAAATTATATGACTTTGAACTCAATCTCTCTCCATCACTCTCCAGAACCCAATCAAAGAACCTTCTTGCCACATCAGGATTAGACTCAAGATTCCTCAATACCTTCAGCACCAAATCATGACTTATGACAACAGCATTCACCTCCAATTCTTTCGCAATATCATTCCCATCTCTATATTTATTGAAAATATCAATTACAGCTTCTAACGCATGATCTGGGTCCTTTTGCTCTACTGCTGGCTCAGATGAGAAATTACGAAAGCTAAGGTTTTTATGGTTCATGAACAGTAAACTGTTCGTGGCTAGCTTACGATTTTGGGGGTTTGACAAATACGATTGAGAAGAAGCATTGTGAAAGGACTGTGTATGGAGAAGCGATGAGAAAGAGCTCACAGAATCGGAGAGTACCTGGGACTGGGTAAGGATCGGGAGTCGTGAGCGAGGGCAGCTCCGCAAGAGAAGCAAACGCCATGGGTACCTCATCTTCTGCTCCCGCGGGTCTACGGTTGCTGCTCCTGCGTCCGGGAAATGCACAAAACTTTGGAAGTCTGTTCCTGAAACAAGGTGTTTTTAGGGTTTTAGGGGGTTTAGTTCTTTGGATTCAGCCAAGGTCCACGATTCGAATCTGGTTGCTGCAGATTGTTAAATTATCCACAATTTTTTTTTAAAAAAAAATTATTTTACAAGATTAGATGTACAAGATTAAATGATATTAAAAGTACAATTCACTCAATAATTTTAATGAAATAATTTTAATTAAATTATATTTTTACTACTTTATTAAAAATATTTTAATAATTCATGTTCAAAAAAAATATTTTAATAATTGCATTTTGACGTTTGGTTCAATAACATTAAATCACGTTTAAAATATTTTTTTTTGTAATAGTTTAAATTCTATTCCTTACAAATTTGTTAAAAAAAAATATTTCAATAATTTTATAAAATAAAACATATTTTTAATATATAATCTAAATTATAATAAATGTATCTATTTTTTTTAATTAAAAATATGTTCAATAGTCCGAAACTTAAATAATTGAATAAGTGCTGGCTTTCCGGTTCCTTTCAACATTTCTCTTTACTCTTTAGTAATAGAAAAATGACTTATTAAATTTGTATTTAACTTTTGGGCTTAATTTGTAGTCCTTAATAAAATCCTTCTTGTCTCAAATTTTAATTTTGTTACAGTTTAGGTACGATAATATTAATTGTAATTTTGTTTGGATTAGTGGTTCATGACTATATCCAATGGCAAAATTAAGAATTTTTTTAAAAATTTTTTTGAGTAATAACCAATAACCATATTTATACTTTTAGGTTGAGATTTAATTGATTTTAATAGCAGTGTGAGTTGATAAATGGAAAAATTACAATTTTGCCACAAAAAATCTTGGTCAATTATTTTCATATTATTGTAATGTAACTTGTAGGTAATAAAAGTATTTTTCAAACAAAAATAGAGATATTTTAAAGTTTTTCTTTTTTGTTGATAAATTTTCTTACAATTTGAGATATTTTTCTTTTGTCCAAATCATGTCATGTTGCAACAGTTGCCAACACCCAACATTATGTTGGCAGTGTAAGGTGCTAAATTCCAATTTCTTGATGTTATGTGCAATCAATGAAATGGATACAATTTTTATTCTCACCATCCGGATTAAGTAGTCTCTTTATTTATTTTTGGTTTCCGCCCAGTATCCGGGGTTTTACCTCGACTAATCTGGACCCGACTCGCGTCGCGCACCTGAAAATGGTGGGTGAGTCTCCCAGCGAGAGCTGCTGCGTACACAAGATCTCAAACTCGAGATCTTACTTAAACTGAAACAAACCATTTATTACTTGATTCAATCTTTCATTGGTGGATTAAGTAGTCTGTGTGTATATATACATATAAATATATATAAAAAAAAAGAAGCAATAGAATTATTGTACTGTAAGGATCAAAATAGGGTTTTTTTTTCTCTCTCTTTTAAAAAAATCGGAATTGCATTAAGGTTAACTTGCGGATTTGGTCTTTTAACTTTCAGTATTGGATCGAAATGATCCTTAAACTTCAAAAAATGCCAAACTAAACCCAGAAACATCTAAGTCAAACTGGATATGACAAAATGCTTCCTGTTCTCCAAACAAAACTTGCTCGCCCAAAATTTCCCTTGATGTAAAGCATCACTTGTTCGTGCCAGCTGCATTCTTTACAGCTTCATCGGCATCACCTGCCTAGCCCTACATTTGCCCTCTCACTTGCACCCTTGTAGTTCATTTCTTTTTTGGTACCTGCAACCCAAGCGCTATGATTATTCAAGCGATTCGCTCACCCTCTCACCCCTGTTGTCTAGTACCATTACAAATATCTTTGCTATATATACAATTTATATAATCCCCAAAATGAATCACATGTATGCTAACATGGTATTGGTATAAGAAATTAAGTTTTTTTTTTTTTTTTGTACTAAATTCTTTGGTATTCGAAAGCCACATTAAACTCTAATTAATTCTGAATCAAGTCGTATTAAATTTCATAAAAGATAAACTCTCCCAATACCTGTTTCTTCATATATAAAATTCAAATTCTAAACCTTATTTAATGAAAATTTAGATTTCTCCACTCAAGCTAATAGGTTGTTGGTATTATAAGAAATTAAACTAAATACAAATATAAGAAAGTGAAATGAAATTGAACAAACATGAAATTTAACCATTGATGAGCATAACCAACTTAGTTTATTGAACAAAACACATTCCTTAGTTTCATTCTTCAAAAGACAAACCAACAACCAAACATTTTTTTTTTTTTTTTTGCTGAAAACAAGGATGGAGCGGGAAGAAATCACTTATATATGCTACTATGCTAGCACCACTTACAAAATGTGAGAGTCGATCAAGACAAATGGGGTGGTAAATTGAAAAGCGTATTCCCACATCGAGACAGCCCAATCAGTTTATAGCAACAACATCAGAGAAACCTTGTACTCTTTAATAGAAGTTTGATTGGATTTTCAAGAAGAAAGACCACTGAGAGACCTGAAGAACAAGTCGCAACACTTAAGCGTACGCAATATCATCAATCTCCTTCGGTAATAACTGTTCACTTCCTCGTAAATGCCATCATAATGGAAGTGAGTGACACGAGCATCATTGCATATCCTGTTGAAGAACCCGGTGGCATCCTCTGGACTCAATAATGAGTTAGAAATAATGCCATTACTACATAGTATGTGAAAATCATCGACACTGCTGATGAGATTATTCATAAATTTGGCATAAGAGGTGAATATAGTAGGAAGTCCACAGCAACACTGCTCAAAGGCAATGAGGTTGCGAAAGATAGTTTCAGTGGCGTCATGAATTGATAGAAATGGCAGTTCAACAACACCATAATCAAATTTAATATCCAAGATGCATCTGGATTTGCCTCTCTCGAATGCTTTTTTGTTTTCTTTGGTAGAACCTCTCTTGAATTTGATCCCGGCCTTGTTAAGTATACTGGCAGAAGGAATTTGTGTTTTTGCCTCTGTAGGTTCCTCCATTTTCTCGCGACTTGATGACTCTTTCCATCCGCTTTGGGAAGAATTTGCTAGCAGACATTGCCGTAACAGATCAATAACATGCAAGATAGTAGCACTGGGAGAAAGCTCATTTGCTCCAGGAAGACCATCGTTGGAGAAAATCTTACTGAAGAAATGAATGGCAAGTTGATGGAGCTCAAGATTTGGTTCTTTTGTTCTCTCATTGGTAAGGTCGAAAATATGCTGCAGCACAAACCAAGGTATTTGGTTTTCCAGTAAAAACAAGTCATGATAAAGAGACTGGAGCATACAGGGCACGGTGAATATAGGGTCATCTTCATCTCTACTTGTTGCGTTGTAATACTTGAGAAACAACTCAGTGATAAAGCAACCATCAAGCACCAAAATCTTCACTAATTCATCATCGCTGAAACTAATCTTTCCAGCGTAACACTGACGAGCCTGATCTTTTATATTACGTACAGCACATACTAGCTCTAGCAGCTTTGCACTTGGATCTGGGAAACGATTGAGGAGACCCTTAAGATAGTTGATTTTCAGCGCTTGTGTGGATTGAAGATTGCATTCGTCATGGTGCCAAGGCCCAAAGGAGAATGCATTGGGAAGATAAGCCTTCTTGTTATGCTTGGAGAGAATGTTTGGGATTCTGAAAATGCTACTCTCCCTGGATGCTGTGGGTTTGTTGGAAGAGATCAGCAATTCCAGTTCCGCTGCGATGCTTTCTCTATTATCTTCCGCAGTTTCCATTCTCAACGCTTCCTCTACATAATAGGAAACCAAAAGAAAACTAGACACCAAATTAAAACTCACATCTGTGAGAATTAAGAAACTTTTTAAATTTAAATTATGTACTTATAAGTGTTTAAGGTTCTATTTGGTTTGTCTTTAAGAAACAATTGTTAACTGACATCTATTACTTAACAATTTGAAGTTCACTGATTTGAATACCAAACCAAACACACCCAAAGACAGGTTACCTGCTGGAGATGCAAGAGACATTATGTCAGATTGAAACAAGGATCGGCAAGCATGTGGGACACTAGAACGAAGAATCTGCAAAGGAAACAAGAAAAAGGGAAGTTATACTTTAATGAGATTGTAGGAAACAATCAAACAACGAAATAGTACAAGTGGGTGAGAAAACTCATAGTGCTTGCTTACTTAAAGAGCTGAGAGCCTGTTGCTGTTGAGGCCTGCAAGTTATAGCTACCTAAATAAATGAACAAAGAAGTGAGAAGACTGAAAACTCAACATTAATTAATATTAAATAATATTTTTATATATAAACGTGGAATAATTAAATTGACTTGGCAAAAGCCTCAATCTCAGACTCTACAGAACACCTCGCAGAAACTTCTCTTTTTGGTGACCCAATGGTGCCATTGCCTTCCGTCTATTTTAATTGTTACTTTTACTTTTTGTACATGACTATAAATAAACTTTATGATAAGAAGAGTTGAAGAATACTCAAACCTGTTTCAAAATGAATTACAAGTGAAGTTGCTTAACTTTTGCCTGCAACTTTAGATAATATTTTTGGGAAGGGGGTAGGAAAATATGCTGGGTTAGTTGGGAGAAGGCTTGTGTAGAAAAGGAGAAGTAATTTGGCTCTAATAGGGAAGTGGTGGGCTAGGTTTGAAGTTAGTGATGTGAGGCTGTGGAAGAAGAAAATTTTAGTTACGAAGTATTATGGGAATGAAATGTTGCATATATAGGATGGGTAACATCAGAAGGAGAAGGACATCTAAGGTATGTGCAGACATGGTATCATAAGGCTATCCAGTATGTGAGATGAAGAAAATTGAGGGGTATGGATTTAAATGGGAGGTATAGGGGATGGTAGTAGAATTAAGTTTTGGAAGGATGAGTGGCTTGGTGAAAGAAACTTAGAGGATGACATGAGTTTCCTAGATTAAAGAATCTTGTAAGGAGGGTGGATGCAAGAGTGAGTGAATTGGGTTTTTGGAGCGAAGGGATCTGGAAGTGGGAAATAATAGAATGGAGAAGGAACAGGTTTGGGAGGGAATGTGCAGAAGGGAGGAAGGATGATAGAAAAATTAGAATCTGTTCGGGTGAAAATAGGGGTGCTGGATAAGAGGATTTGGAAGTTTGATAATGCTGGAGTTCATTCTTCAAGTAAGGCGTATGAATTGATGGCTTCTAATGTAATGAAATTCTACTTCATGCTGAATTGTGTAAGGCTATCTGGAAATATTATGTGCCTGGAAGGGTGAGTCTTTTTGGCTGGAGAATGTTTTTGAACAAGTTGCCCACAAAGGAAAACTTGGCTCCGGGGGGTATATATATATATCCAAGTAGATGGAGGGAACAACTGCTGTAAGAGATGTGGAGAAAACGTGGAAGATACTGGACAGTGGACATGTTTCTCAGATGTGAATTGGCACGTCAGGTATGGAGGAAATGTTTGGACTGGTGGGGCTTCTCTAAACTGTGACAGGTCCAAAGAAAGCAGCATACACTAGCTGTGGTTCAGGCTCTATCATCGTGAGTACAGCATGGATGGTGGAATGAAGTGTGAGGTATTTTGGATCATTTGTTGCTTTCATATGGCTGAGGCTGCTTATGATTTGGCGAGGTGGGTGGAGTTTGTGGAAGATCAACAAACCTGGTTTAATGATTTGCCCCTGTGTGCGTAGTTTCATGCGCGATATTGCTTCCTTAGCCACTTGTTCTTCAGTGGGAACTCCACCCTGAGTTTTTCCACTTGTTCGATTTATTTGGAGATTTCTTTCCTCCATCCCCCTAGCATAATAGGAATATTTTTAAAAAATATTGTATTTTAAAATAATAATAATTTTTTAAATTTGTGTGTTATATGAAATTATTCTTAAAATTTTCGTATTAAGTATTTAATTTTATACTTTTTTTAAGAAAAAGAAATTTTTAATTGATTAAGTACTAAGAAATTATTTAATAAAAAATAAGTATCATGAATTGAAAAATTATATTCTTATTGGTCATGACTATCTTGGTTGTTGAATGTTATTTTCTTTTGACTATATAAAATGCATGATAATAGAAGTGGGAGAATACAATTTCTTTAGCAAATTCTAAATAAAAGAGAAGTGGATCTAAAACTAAAGTTGGTCATAATGAGCAAAATATATGTTAATTGATTCAAAGGAATTAACTTGAATAAAAAAAGAGTTAACTTGCCTCCTTTTTTTCAAGTCTCAAATTGGTAGTTTAATATATAGTTAAAAATTTGAAATTTTAAATTAAAAGTTTTAAACTTAAAACTTAAGTTAAGTAAAAAGAAATTAAAAAAAAATATATTATTCTCTCTTATATAACCTATATATTATTATTAGATGCAAGAATTAATTTACCCTTTTTTAATTTAAGAATTAACTTGTCCGTTTTTTATAGGCTTAATGTCACAAAAAAATTTTTAAATTTTACAAAATGAGTAATTATTATCTCTCTATTGTTCATGATAATCCTTACCATTTGGAAAAAAAAAAAAAAAACCAACCATAATCCTTCCATCAACGAAAGTTAAAACACTGTTAATCTCCTTGTCAACGTCATTCATCTCCGCTTAGATGCTCTGTTATCTTATAATTTCTGTCCAAGTTGCAAGAATGAGTTCCAATGACATCTTATCCACCCGATGATCTTTTAATATAAGTGAAAAAAATATAATTTTTTAAAATAAAATTTTGTATTTAAATTTCATGAATAAAAAAATAAATATTAAGAAAACTTCTTTTTATAAAATACAACATTACTAAATTTTAAATTAGTTAAAATCAAATATAATTTTTAAATATTAAAAGATTAATAAAAAAAATGAAATACAATATCTTCTTTTAATCACAGGCGGAAAACTGCTTGTAGTCTCGACACCTAGAAATATGGTGTTGACACTCAACCCAAGTCAGGTTTCGAATTTTTCTCAATGATAAAATAGCATGTTGTCCTCTAACTTCTACATTATGAACACTTTGATCCTTAACTTTGAATTCAAGCATATAAAATGCATAAAAGCTAAAGTTAAAACATATAAAAGTGCATCTCATCATGTAGCTAATTTATATTTAAGAATATATTTTGTAACCAATATGAATTGGTTAGACATTCAATATATAAGTTATATTTAAGAATTTTAGCAAAAGAATAAAACTCTATTTAAAAATGTAAAAAGTTAAAATTGTTAATATACATAAACATAAAATAAATTGACTATTAAAAGAAATCATGCAAGATACAAAGTAAACTCTTTTTTTTTTAAGTAAATGTGCCTGGTTCTTAAGAATTCAAATATTGTTATTAGGAGCTAAACTTACTTAATATAGTCACAAAAAGTGACTTGAAAATTTCACAAGATCAATATTCAAAGCATCAAGTCATTATCATAAAAACAAAATATATATGAGTAAGATATCCATGATTCATTTGCTTGCTTTATCTCTTTTGTTTTCCATATACTTTTATGGAGCTTGGAAAAAGATCAATTTTTATTGTTTGAAACACTTTAAAAAACATTTTAAGAAAAATGTTTTCTATTGTTTGATAAGTAATTAAAAACTTTACATTTGTCAAAATACTAACTAAAAAAATAAACAATTAAACTTAACTATAAATTATCAAATTAGGCAAAATCCTAGCTTCATTCTTCATAAAAAATAAAATTAAAAATTGATCTTCTCAATGCCCTTCTCCATAGCTTCCGACTTACCACGTGAACTTTTGCAGACATTAGCGTCCAATTTAGAAGGAGCCGTCGACTGCAACAATAACTGAGTCTCACTTCTTGAGCTTTAGGTCACTGTGAATTTGGCATCAGGTGGCTCGAATCTATATACCTTTGTCATGTTTGGTCTTAATCAATCTTTATTGTGGCATTTCATCAAACACCTTCAAGGGCTTTTAATTAACCCAATTGTAAACAAACGGCAAATTGTTGAAAAAAAGGAGAAAATTCACCTTATTAGGATGAAGCTCATCGCCATAAATTTTTGTTCTTCTTCGCCTTCCTCTTCCTCTTCCTCTTCCTCTTTTTTACCGTCCATTCGCATGTGACTGATGGAATGCAATCTCGCCGACTAACGTAGGAAGTGGGTTTGATAGTTAACGTAAACGGAGTCGCGACCAAGCGTACGCGTCTCTGCGTTATGACCCTAAGACCCGTGCGTTTTGCAGATCCCGATCTTTAAGATCCTTGTCTTTTTAAAATTGAAAAATCAACTACCGGAGATTTAATCTGGAAGTTATTTTCTGGAATTTGCTGGTTAGATTTTTCGTTGACTGAAGTTCATTTCCTTTAACTTACTTTCTGAAGACCTTCCAAACATTAGAAAATGAAGAAAATAATTTTTAGAAGTTATTTTTATGCGAACCAAATGACGCTTAATTACTAGAATAAGATTCAAATCAAACAAATTCTTGCAAGTATAATCCCCAAAAGAATCACACACATCTTGGACTCTTAGTTATAAGCATGATTAAAAGAGCAACCAAGAAGAATGCTATGGACACTTGAAATAGGGCCAAGTGTTCATGCACTCCACGTGATTGATGCAAAGTGAATTTTTTTTAAAGAAATTTATTCATTGATGAGCATAATCAAGTTAGCTTACAGAACAAATTATAAAATGATTTTTCAAAAGGTAAATTCAACACCAGACTCTTATTATTTCCTAACAAGGAGAATGAAAAGCGAAGAAAGTTACTTCAACAAAAATGTAGGTACCACTTGTAAAAGGGTGAGAGTCAAGATCATGATGGCAAACAGCTGAGAAACAATGGCCCATGGCTTGGTGAAGTAGTTCTGAGTGTAAGCCGCACGCCATCTAGGCCACCCCCGTCGGCAATAACTATTCACTTCCTCGTAAATTTCAGAACAATGTGAGCGAGGGATACGGGCATCATTGTAGAGCTTGTTGAAGAGCTGGGTGGCATCCTCTGAACTCATTGAGTTTGAAATAATGCCTCTCTTGCACAGTATGTGCAAATCATCAACCTTATCGATGAGATTATCCATAAGTTTGGCGTAAGATGTGACTATAGGTTCAAGATGATAGTAACACTGCTCATAGGCAATAAGGTTGCGAAAGATCGTTTCAGTGGTGTTATGAATTAATATAGATGGGACTTCAAGAACTCCTTTACAAAATCTTATATGGAAGATGCTATCATTAGACCTCTTGAATTTGACTCCGGCCTCTGTAAGTCTACTTGCAGAAGGAAGATGCTTGTGCGACTCTCGTTCTTCATTAATTGTTGTTTTTTGAGGCGATGAATTCTGCTGTTCGGATGGTTGTTTCTGGCATGTATTTTTCAAGTATGGCAAAAATAGATATGTCCGTAGCAGATCGATAATGTGCTTGATTTTGTCAGTATCAGAATCTTTGACTTCTGGAGGAGGACGACCACTGGTGAAAATATTACCGAAGAACTGAATAGCAAGTTGATGGAGCTCAATATCTGCTGACTGCTTAATACTTTCCTTTGTCAGATCGAAAATACGCTCCAGCACAAACCAAGGTATTTGGTTTTCCAGCAAAATCAAGTCATGGTAAAGAAATTGGAGCATACAAGCCATCCCAAATATAGGGTCATCTGGATCTCGACTTATCACCTTAGCAGACTTGAGGAACAACGCAATGATAAAGCAACCATCAAGCAGCAAAATCCTCGCGAATTTACGATCATCATGAAAACTAATCTGTTCAGCATAACACTGACGTACCTTTTCCTCCATCTCGGTGACAGCAGCTTCCAAATCTAGTAGCTTTGCTTCTCGGTCAGGGAAAGGATGGAGGAGGTCTTTAAGATAGTTGATTTTCAGTGCGTGTGTTAATTTCAGATGATCGTCGTCATGGTGCCAAGGCCCAAAGGAAAATGCATTGGGAGAGTATGCCTTCGGATTATGCCTGGAGAGTATGCTTGGGATTTTGAAAATGCAACTTTCCCTTGATAGGCAGAATTCCCTGGATTGGTCTGACTTGGATTGGTCTGACTTGGATTGGTCTGACTTGGATTGGTCTGACTTGTATGAAGATACCAGCTTTTCCATGTCAACAGCAATGTGCCCTTCTCCATTATGTTTCACAGAATGCATATCCTCTCTGTTGCACAGAAGGAACCGTTATTTTAAACCTTGATATTACTTATTTTTCAATTATTTTCAGTTAATTAAAGCCACAAACTAGAAACTAGTAGTAATTAATGGGTTTTTCTAATTGAAAATGCTCCACCATGTTAGAATTAGAAAGTCTTTTGTGCATAAAGTGATTTCCTTCTCCATTCTTAAACCCACATGGGTGAGAAAGGATTTCCAAAAAAAAGAGAAGATGTTTTGGGGAATAATTGCTAAAGGCAGCTTACTACTGGATGGTCATGGGACGTCACTAGCTAGAAGCAAGAATATATCTGCAAAGTAAACATGGGAAGAAGATATGTTACATTGATAAACAATCAAACAGAAAAACAAACTCGGTGGGTGAGTGAACTCAAAATGGTCACCTTGTGTTGAGAGACTGAGACTGCAGTTGAAGCCATCTGGCTAGTTTTAGGTACTTTAAATACAAGAGGACTCCAACCATGGATAGAATCAAAATTTTAAGAGGGGTAAAATTTTAAAATTTTAATGAGTTTTTTTTTTTAGTATATATAATACAATTTATATTAATTTTTAAATCAGTTATTAATTTTATACACATACTACTTATATAATCCACATTAAAATTTAAATTAACTAAATATATTTAATTATTAAGTAGCATAGAATTTAATTCCATTAAATAGATAGTTTAAAAATATAGTTTGTTTTCTTTATAAAGTTACATATATCAAATTAATTTTAAATTTAAAATATATAATTTACATAAATAAAATAGATTTAGTTGCTTGTTTAATATAATATTAATTATACAAACAAGAATTATGTATAACAAAT